TTGGGTTTTCGTCGCTTGGCAAAGACGTTATAGAACAAGCCCCCCACTCGGTGTTTGCCATCGGGATTGGGTTTTCGTCGCTTGCCAACGACGTTGTAAAACAAGCCAATTCACTTCGTGAACTCGGCAACCAGGTAACCGTTTTTTTTTTTTTTACCTCGGTTTTTTTTTTGGCGGTAACCATAATGGTGGTCGAGTAGATCATGTTGTGCGGGGTCGAGAAACCTCACTCCGCGCAACGGGGGATGATCGTACCACGTTGTGTTAAAATGGTCAAGCTTCCTCGAGGCAGTTACACAGTGCTTACAACTGTCTCTGGAAGTGAAAGCACCAGAAAATAAATTAAGTCATACGTAGCTGTCATCCGTACGCAAGGAAGTAAGCACAAGATGCCGAACACCCTTAGCAGGATGCAGCTCACCCTTCATGCGACTCGCCAAATACCTCACGGCGCTTCGCGCTTGGTGATGTGAGAGCCTGGTCCGGTGAGAACCCAGCGTGCTCCGTCCCGGCTTTGTAGGGATGCGAGGTCAATGGTCAAACGACTACGGCATGCACGACTATGAGTACACCCCACCCCCCACCCCCCCCCGCCCCACCGATGCGGTGCAGAGATCGAGTTGCTATACTCTGCCTCCGGTGACGGGGGCAAGCAAGCAGTTGCTATACTCCGCTTGCCGTGTTGCTATACACACCGTTTACAACCCCCATCGGTGCAGAAATTGAGTTGCTGTATTCTACCTGCTGGGTCCAAGCTAGCAGTTGCTATACTCTGCTTGCAGTGTTGCTATACACTCCGTTTGGTGCAGGAATCGAGTTGCTATACTCTACAGTACCTGTCGTGACGGATGCAAGCTAGCAGATGCAATACTCCGCTTGCAGTGTTGCTATCCACACCGTGTAAAATCCCCGTCGGTGAAGAAATCGAGTTGCTATACTCTCCCTCCGGTGACGGGGGGCAAGCGAGCAGTTGCTATACTCCGCTTGCCGTGTTGCTACACACACCGTTTACCCTCCCCCGCATGGGCCCAGAAAGAAGAAGAGACATCGAAGGCAGACGTTGGGAACGTAGAACTAGAAAAGGAGTTCACTGAGGACGAGGTTGAGGCGTGTGTGAACAAGCTGCAGTGCCACAAAGCAGCAGGGCCGGATGGGATAGTCAACGAGTTCATGAAGTTTGGGGGGAAGGGGATGATCCAGCTGATGGTACTGCATAATGTTTTCGTGTCTGCCACGTTTTTGCATTTTGGGCCAGCCGCAGTGCCGTTAGGTACCGATCGTTCAATCTCCCACACTACTAAATATCAGTTTTGCTAAACCGCCCATCCATGGGTCACCCATGGGTGGTTTAGCAAAACTGTCAGTATTGTGGGAGATTGACCTACCACAGGCAAACGGATATCGAAGCAAATACCTCGGTGGTAGGGCGTATGCATAAAGTTCCATCGCGACCGGCTTTTGCAACCGCGTGATCTCAATGTGGCACGGTGGTGATCGATGTGGTGTGTGTTCAGAAAAAGTATCACAGGAGCTAGGAAGCAACAACAAGTGTGGTGTGCCTCTTATGCATTTGATGCACGAACGAGTCTACTATGCATATGTCACAGGTTACAAAAGAGATCTACTTCAGTTCGATGGGTCACTGTATTTTGTAGAAAGAGGTTTCTTTGGCAGCCCAGTTTGGTGAAACTGCACGGGCAACGCGTGAGTGCCTGCACGTCTGAACGAACGTTGCGTGAACAAACGAGAAAAGTCACGCGCGTGGCGTCACACGGTATTACTTCTGAAAAAGAGTATGAGTGACAGGTAGATCCCGCCTTTGATCTCACACCATGCATGACATCTGCTAACTACAGCATGTAGATTCCGAACAGACCACCTCTCCTACATCTTGTTGCTCTCGAAGCTTTACACCGCGACTCTCCACGTTTTCCAAGTTGGTCATTGTAAGGCTACAACAATGAGTGTCTCCGCCCAAATTATTAATAAAGTGAAAATAGCCTGTATTTGTTCGCTTCTGCCGGTTTTCCTCCTCTCACTGAAAAGACTTCACCACATCCCGTTCCACTGTGGGTATATCTCGAATGGGTTGTTTTTCGGTGTGTGTATTTATTTTTCCTTACTAATTATTGAGTTTTCACTTGTTTGTTGTTTCCTCCTGCCCTTGCGTGCTTCAAATTGCACCTTGTCTCCACACATGTTACACACCGGCGTGCCCGGAAAAGTGAGAATTCCCCTGTTGTTACAAACTTGTCCCTTCTTGGTCATATCTCATCATAGTTCAACAAGAAGACCGATGAGTGATGCCTCATTAGGGGGGTGCACGTTTGAGGGCTAGGGTTAGTATTTTCGGAGATAAACGTGTCATTCTGTTTCAGAAACCTAGACTACATCGGTATCAGTATCTATGATCGTTGCATCCAAACGGTTTGGCGAGAGCCTGAGTGTGTCTCCCTGCCCGGAAGGGTAAGATGAGGTGACCCCCCTGCCGTGACATCACTCCGCCCCACCCTTCACATCATATCTCCGTAAGTGGAAGCTCCTGTCTGTCGACCTCGCTCACAAACAAACTTTTCCCTAGAATTTCTACAGACTAGCATTTCTATGGACCCCCGCATCTCTCCCAAGCGTCGTGGTTTCCCCACCTTCATCTGCCCACTGGCGCCAGGGCCTCTCCTATTTTCACCGTCTTTTTCGGCCCGCAGTTGATATGCGCAAGGCTACGTACGTCCACAACGAAGGTCGCATAAACAAGACGACCGACTACAGACCATGTCGCCGACGAAGTCCACCACATCGCTTCTTGCGCGACTTCAACAAAATAAGGTGCAATATGCAAACCTGTCTTGGTTTTGAGGTCGTTGTGGACCATTACATAGAAGAACAAGATATGTGGGTTAATCATATACGGCACATTTGCCGCTCACTTAACTTCGCTTCACCCTCGAATGACAGCTAGCTACCGCTTGGGCTGGCTCGAAAGCTCGAATATTGAGCGTCGTAACATGTAGTAGGAGCCTTTGGCCGCGATATTGCAATACGGCGGTACTTCCGGCGGATTTCCGTTTTTCGCCGGCGCTTTAGGCTCTCTCTATTGCTTATACGAAGCAGAGTACGAAGATAACATCGGGCATATTCCGTTTGGTGCTTAAGGCGGAAGCGCATGACCTCGGGCCGTCGCGGCCGTCGCCCGATTCATTTGCGCGGAGAAAAGGAACGTCAAAACCGGGTCGAGGCTCTGTTAGTTTCGTACTATAATACTGTACGTCGCCACTGTCGACCACAGGATGCTATAACGTGTTTAGTACATTATTTAGGGTCCACCGCTCACGTGAGTTTCTTAGCCCCCCATTTTCATGTTTCATATTCATTCACGCTTGTCGTGAAAAATCGAGCCTGCCCCTGTTTCTTAGCAAAATGTTTCTTGGATATGGGCCCTTGCTGAAAGTCGCATGGATCTCCGGGGCAGCCGCAGCCTCATCTGACGCCCCCGCCCTGCTCGTTTTGCCCAGCCGGCGTCAATCAGACGGGTGACAAGCTGGAGAAAGGCTCATTGTCGGAGATGATGAAATTATGTCGCGCAATTGAAGGCCAGGGTATTGACTGGCTCTCTCTCGTGGAGGACTACCGTACTATAGCAGTGCTTGGGGAGGATACGCGTGTGGCCTTGTTCACCCCTCCACCCCTCATGTCGATATTTTTGGCATTGGAAGGTGGATCTACCCCCACACGCACAAGTAAGATGCAAATCCTGGAGGCCACCGGTGCACGACACGACAGGACCTCCTTAAATCTGAAGTCTCGAAAATGCACGGACAAGAAAGTACAGAGGGCATTCGAAGATCTACCCGCTCTCACGCACAACAAGTAAGATAGGAAACTGTAGGAGGAATCGAGGCGGCTGGCCCACCCAACAGGACTCCGGTACATATGAACGCCCGCAAAGCACAGAAAGAATCGATACCGAAGGAAGGACGCGCAAAACGCAAACAAAAGAAGTACAAACCCAAAGATAGACGAAATAAATGCATGACACTTGGACGTGGAGAAGGTTTATTGAAAAACAACGACGACATCAGAGGAGAAAAGGTGCATGGAATACCGACAAACGGCAGAACAACCAACGGAATGCAACAGGAGGAAGACACAAGGGTTCTCAAAAGAAATGGCCCTCGCAACCGGACGGCACATACAGGAATCAAGCCCGTCATGGGAAGGCGATAGAAAGCACACAGAAGGACCAACGCCCGCAACGCCTATGAAAGAAAAGATCACAAAACAAGCAGTTTCATTTGCAGGTAACAACCTGCAAGTATGGCACCCGACAACGCAGCAGTACTTTGGGAGTGAGTACGAGTTGCTTCATTTGGAGCGATAAACCGCCAGTGGGTGTTTGCATCAGCCAATGGGCGATAGTTCAACCTCAGAGACATCATCGGAAGAGGGGATGGTCTCTTGCCGTGACCGGAATAACGCCTTCCAGAATCGGAGGGCCGGGCCATCTCGCTCCCCTACCGTTAAAGCACACGTGAGCACCACCGTTTCAATCACAATCACCAGTATCATGCAAGCATGGGCAGCGACTAGAACGACTTCGAAAACCCTTTGACTTTCGACCCGCTCATTGGACACGTCCACCTTCAGCAAGAGAGCCACGTACATGCTCACGAACACCACTGCATGGCCCATACGACTGAGCCAGGTATCCCACCTAGATGCGTAAGGAGCCAACCCTTCTGACACCACGACGAACGCGAAGGCCATCAGCAGCGTTATGGCGATCTGGGGTGCTGTGTTGGGGTAGATGAACACCACCACACCGGCAAGCAACACTCTTCTACCGCATTCGATTACCTCGTAGTAAAACACCGACGGCTTGTACGGTTTCCACAATTCGGAGGTCGAAATGACACGGGCAGTCTCTTCTCGATCAGCCCCGCTCCTCTTCAAGACATCACGATCCCTGAATAGAAGAACGCCGTAGAGCGCGGGGATGCCCACAGTGTACACCACAACCATAACGCCTGCGTACACCTGCAAGGCTTTGTGCTTCGAGGAGTCGCACGTGATGCGGTAATCGGCCCTAAGGTACGTTTCACCGTCGGCGAGCGATTCGCATGCAAACGTCTGGAACAGAGTGGAGCTGACGCTTGAGTACACGAATACCGTCAATAGCAGCACCATGGACACATGCCTGTTCCAGATGACCTGCAGTGTCTCTGTCGCTCCGCGGTTGATGCGGGTGGCCGCGGCGTAGGTCCAACAGAGGAACAGCAAGGCGACGATAGGGCCGATTGTCGAAATCAGCAGCCGGTCGTGGAAATCGACAACAACGATGCAACCGGCGGAGAGCACCCAGCTGAGGTCGAAATTGAATACGCCCAAGCCGTCGAGAAAGCGCTGGTACACATCCGGGTACGTGACATTCGCCACGGCGGTAAACTGGAGAACAGAACGTGGGGAATAGAAAAGAAGTGGTTTTGATGAGCCGAAAAATCGCAGGTATCACATCATTGGCCAGGAACAACCTCGGCAACGAGGAGTCCCCAACGTCAAGCGGGTGATGTTTTAAGATCACGGCGAAATTGCATGGTTCGCACAAACGCTCGTTGGCCATGAGCGAAACGTCTAGAGAATCGTAGCATACTTTCCCAAACGGACACGGATACCACGAGTCGGCGATCCTTTAGCTTAGCATTTGGCCTTTCAATTGTCAGGTACATGGGGGAGAGAGTTCGCGAACTTTCTCGACATCTTTATGCCTTTCTTTGACAAGTGTATGTCATCGATGGCGTACAAGCTACGTCAAAATAACACCGTCCTTGCATAGCAGGTACAACGGAAATCGCGTTTCCCTCAGTTCCCTTTAAAGGTCTTCCTCCAACTTACCCAAACAAACCCTCATCCACGACACCCACCCTCACCTGAGTCAATATCTGCCAGGATACAACCACGATCTTGGCAGATTGGAGGGGGATGTACCGCCCCAGGCGCTCGACGGTCCCCCTACTTCCTTCGCCGACCTTGTCCGACACCACGTAAGAAACCACCGCAACGGCAACCAACAGCGCAACCACCGCAAGAAAGGATGCAAGAATGATGCCGCCTGCGCTGTCGGAGCACTCGCTGCACTTGAAGCTCAGTCCTGCAGTGTACCCATCGCTACAAATGGAGCAGTCTGGCCGAACAGGCAACAAAAGCATGATGAAGGAGTGGGAACGGGTGGGGTGGGCTAACGGTTGTGATCGAGGGCCGTTCGATGAGTGGTCAGACAAAGTTGCTGGCAACCGACGCTAGAGGTTTAGGATTGGTGCAAACCGTTGGCTTTTGAAGAAGCGCCAGACCCTGCGCCATATGCGTAGAAGACGCGTTCGCGAACGAAAACATTTGCAAATTATTGCACAAGAAGCTGCAAACGCGAGCCACTTTCCACTTGCACTTTTCCTTACTCAGCGGTCGGGGTATGCGAGAACCACTCACATGGTCCTTCATAGCCGTCAAGGCAGGAGCCGCTTGAATTAGTTACACCCGCGAGGCAGGCGTTGGCATTGTAGCATGGGAGGACGTCTATGGCGTACGGGGTCGCCCGCCAAAAGCCGTCATCAACCCTCAGCAATGTGATGTTGTTGGTACCACCAGCGCTACCCGTGTGCTCCATCGCTAACGCGCATATCGGGACCAAAGGCGGTTCCTCGAAGCACCCGTCGTCGTCGCAAGGCGTCTGGCATCCGTCGCAGGCGGCCTCATTGGGGTCACCCGACTGCCATATAGAGTCGCAGTGGAAAACGAGTATCTACTGCTGTAAGGTGGATCCATGACACGGCAACATCAGCATCAGGGCGCTGGGTAGTGTAGACAATTGGGTGGTCGCTAAACATGGATAGCATACGCAACGCAGGCAATGATGTGGTTAATGTTCCGTCCGACCAGCCGAAACCAGAGAGGGAAAGCAACAATTAGCGAATGAGAGAGGTTCTCCTGCTGGAACAACACGGTATATGTGAGCACCGCCGTACGGTGGCGTTCGGAAAATTGTGAACAAGCCCGACTAGAGAGGGTCCTGTTATACAGGTAATACAGTATTCCTACCATGCAAGACCTCCTTTTCTGAATAGAACGTATGATTTTTCAAAGCTTCAAAACAAGCTACCCAACAACCCGAAGAGCCATTCATATTCATGTCCCTAGAAAGAACTAACCTATTGTTCTCGACTTTTGATCTAAGCTGGTTCTGTGATCCATGAACAATAGCACCTCTTTCGTCACGGAGAACTATCAAGCATCTATCGAAAAACAGTTGTTAGCGGTCATACACGTTGATGCTCTTCTATTTCACGATGTCGTATGAGGTGACGAAAGTACCTCCAATGAACCAGCACCTTGATGCTTGGCACAACTACCCAGCGCGTGGGTAAGAATCAAACACACGGAGAAACTCACGCTCGAGAAAGCTACCGAAATTCACGCTCGAGAGGGCTACCGTAGCAATCACATTGAGGGGCAGCAACCTTTTTACAGGAAACCCACCGCATTGAAGTCCAGAAACATGCCCAAGGCGCATGAGAAGACGTTGCCCCTGTACGAGATGTTGTCCATCTTTGAAATGGAGCCGATGTTGGACACGGCCGCTCCCCCACCGTCCTCCGATACGTTTTCCACGAAAGAGCAATTTTCCAGTGTCGCTGTTCCTGCCAGCCTCAGAGCCCCCCCCGTCCCCGCCTGGTTGTTCTTGAATAAGCAGTCAACAAAGACATCTTGTCCGGCCGCGGTTTCCACAGCACCACCGGTAGCTGCCGCTTGGTTGTTGACGAATCGGCACCGGGTGAAAATCGTCGGGTTTGGCGGCGCAAGGCCAGCATATTCCTTCAAGTTCCCAGACCCTACCGTGGAGACAGCGCCTCCGACCTGCGCAACATTGGCCTCGAAAAGTACGTCCGAAAGTACCGGACCGACATCGGCTCCAGATACGAACACGGCACCACCCGCGACGGCCGCTGTGTTGTTACTGAAGACCACACCCGCCGCGCCGAACTCCACGTGCAACCCTCCGCCAAGCAGAGCTAAAACACCCCCGTTCGCTCCACAGGTGTTGTTAGTGAAGATCGTGTGGCCGTTGATGGTGAGGTTAGACTCTCTATTAAATTCAGGGTCCATTACCGATGAACCAACCACACCTCCGTCAGCACCAGCTGAATTAGAAGAGAATTTGGTATGCCCTGTCCATCCCACCAAAGACCCATCGTAAATAAATATTGCCCCCCCGGACGAATTAGCCTCGTTGCCAGTAAAAGTTGTTTCGCTGCTCCAGGAGACTTCAGAGTCGATGCCAACATACAGCGCACCTCCTTCGAGGAATGTACCTGAGATCGTTGCTGAATTATCGGTGAACGTTGTAGTTCCATCACTCCATGACAAACGGACGCTGTCGACGGCCGACACTGCTCCCCCGGCGTCCGCCTTGTTCTCAAGGAACTCGGTGTCTCCAGTCCAGGAGACTTCCGACGTACCCACGAAGATTGCTCCCCCAGTCCAACCGGCCGTGTTGTTCGTCATTTCCATCTTCCCACTCCACGTCATATCCGAGCGTAAGAGAACAACACCCCCTCCGGCAATCCTCGCCGAGTTGCCCGAAAACTTCGTTTCTCCAGAGCAGACGCACAGAGCGTCGATGGCCAGCAAAGCACCCCCGGTAAGGTTGGCGCTATTGCCGGTGAAGCTCATGAGACCGCCCCAGATAGCCGTGCAGTTGCCCCCGATAGCAATGGCGCCACCGCCTCCATCAACTGCGCTGTTGCCGTCGAAGGAAGTATTGCCGCCAAGGGCAATGCTAGATGCAGAGTTCAGGGAGACGGCACCACCATTATACTGAGCTGTATTTCCCGAAAACGTGCTCGTCGGCCCGTCGGTATCGCGGGAAATGTCCTCGCTCCAAGACAAAGTCGAGTTGTGGGCAGCAGCCACCGCGCCCCCCTCACCGGCTTGATTGTCTGCAAACACTGCTGTGTCTCCAGTCCAGGAGACTGCCGACGAGGTCATGAAGATCGCTCCCCCACCCAAATCGGCTGTGTTGTTCGTCATTTCCATCTTCCCACTCCATGACATACTCGAGTTTGCGAGAAGGACACCCCCCCCCCAGCCAACCGTCGCCGAGTTGCCTGAAAACTTCGTTTCTCCACTGCACCCGACGTGAAGTGCGTCCAATGCCATCAAGGCACCCCCAGAAAGGTTCGCGCTATTGCCGGTGAAGCTCATGAGACCGTCCCATGCAGCCGTGCAGTTGCTCTCGATAGTAATGGCGCCACCGCCCCCTCGAACTGCGCTGTTGCCGTGGAAAACGGTGTTCCCACTAAGGGCGATGCTGGATTCAAACTCCAGGTGGACGGCACCACCATCATACTGAGCCGAGTTACCCGAAAACGTGCTCGTCGGTTCTTCGGTATCGCAGGACACGTGAGAGTCTTGGACTGCAATGGCTCCCCCATACCCGGCTTGGTTGTCATCAAACACGGTGTTGCCGTCCCCGCTCCAAGATAAATTTGAGTTGACGGCGACATATACCGCGCCCCCCGCGCCGGCTCGATTGTCTGCAAACACTGTGTCTCCAGTCCAGGAGACTTCCGACATGCCCAAGAAGATTGCTCCCCCAGCCCAACCGGCCGTGTTGTTCTTCATCTCCATTTTCCCGCTCCACGACATTGTCGAGTATGCGAGACAAATACCTCCCCCCCAGTCGACCGTCGCCGAGTTGCCCACAAACTCGGTTTCTCCACTGCAACCGACATACCGAGCGTCCCATGCCATCAAGGCACCCCCGGTAAGGTTGGCGCTATTGCCAGTGAAGCTCATGAGACCGCCCCAGATAGCCGTGCAGTTGCCCCCGATAGCAATGGCGCCACCGCCTCCATCAACTGCGCTGTTGCCGTCGAAGGAAGAGTTGCCGCCAAGGGCAATGCTAGATTCAGAGTTCAGGGAGACGGCACCACCATTATACTGAGCTGTATTTCCCGAAAACGTGCTCGTCGGCCCGTCGGTATCGCGGGAAATGTCCTCGCTCCAAGACAAAGTCGAGTTGTCGGCAGCAGCCACCGCGCCCCCCTCACCGGCTTGATTGTCTGCAAACACTGCTGTGTCTCCAGTCCAGGAGACTGCCGACGAGGTCATGAAGATCGCTCCCCCACCCAAATCGGCTGTGTTGTTCGTCATTTCCATCTTCCCACTCCATGACATACTCGAGTTTGCGAGAAAGACACCCCCCCCCCAGCCAACCGTCGCCGAGTTGCCTGAAAACTTCGTTTCTCCACTGCAACCGACGTGCCGCGCGTCAAATGCCATCAAGGCACCCCCAGAAAGGTTCGCGCTATTGCCGGTGAAGCTCATGAGACCGTCCCATGTCGCCGAGCAGTTGCTCGAGATGACGATGGCGCCACCGCCCCCTTCAACTGCGCTGTTGCCGTCGAAGACAATGCTGCCGCTAAGGGCGATGCTGGATTCAGAGTACAGGTAGACGGCGCCGCCGTCAGACTGGGCCGCATTGCCCGAAAACGTGCTAGTCAGGCCTTCGGAATCGCAGGACACGTGAGAGTTTACGACTGCAATGGCTCCCCCATACAGCCCGGCTTGGTTGTCTGCAAGCAATGTGTCCCCTGTCCAGCCGGCAGACGATCCATCGAAGACGACGAATGCCCCTCCGTAATAAGCTGCCTTGTTCTCATTAAACGCTGTTTCACCGCTCCATGATGCATGCGATCCGTTACTCAGCCTCACAGCACCACCCCACCCAGCACTATTAGCAGCAAATGTGGCCCCATCACCCCACGATATGCTGGAGCCGTCGTGCACCACAACCGCGCCTCCGCTGTTGCCTGCCGAATTGTTGACCCACGAGCTCCCGCAGGAAACAACTGAGTCGCCGGTCACGAACATGGCGCCACCATCGACGTCCGCCGTATTATCGGCTAGTGTCCCGCCGCCGACACAAGACACGTCGGAGCCATCGATCACGTACACGCCGCCCCCGTACCTGGTGGCTTGGTTACCGACAAAGTTCGTTCCGTTGAACGTCAAGCTGGAGTTTGCCGCGGCGATTGCCCCACCAACGATGCTAGCGCCGTTGCTGATGTTCAGGTTGCTCAGGTGCAGCACGGCGTTGTTCACGGTAAACAGCCTCGTCAATGTATTCCCGTCTATGACAGAACTCGCGCCGTCACCAGTAATGGTCAGAACGGTTCCGCCGCCGATGTAGATCGGGTCAACGATAGCCACTCTCCCTCTCCACTCCACCTCGAACGAGCCACTGCAGTTGACGGCTGCTGCCAGGGTCTGTGCCTGCAGCGGGGTTTCCACCAGCCACGTCAGCTGAACCTCGACTGAACACGGCAGAGTAGCGGGCGGTGGTGCCTGGCACTCAAAGAACTCGTCAGCGTTGGGATCGAAACAGTCAAAATCACTGATCGAACACGCCGTCCCGTTGCAGCTACACACACAGCAGTCGCCTCCGTCCCAGCCGCACGAAGCTGTATTTAGTTCCGAGTCGCAAAATCCATCGCCGAGCCCCAACCAACCCGCATCGCAATCAGGGAACTCAGCGACAAGAGCAGGGTCGAAGCAGGCTGGGTCCAGACAGGAGAATCCGTTGGAGCCACATTCGTAGTCATGGCCGTCGACACAGGAACACTCGCAACACTGAGATTGTAAGAAACAGCGCAAGCAACAAGTGGAGGGGTGCGAGCGTGAGAGGACGGCGGGGGGAAATTGACGATCACCAGCGACACCGTATCACACCTGGGAGAGAAGTAGTTCTACACCGTGGCTGATCTATGCTGTGCTACATCTTCATAAAACCCCATTGACCGACAACTGCTTGATGCTCTAGTGTTTCGCAGCCGCCTCGCCAACAAGGGTTTGACGTTCGCAGCCACCAAGACACACCACAACGTACCGACATTCATGTTTCTGAACTCAGAGTGTAGTGTTCCACCCAGCTAGATACGATCAAGAGCACCCGAGCCAAACTCACATCCCCGCCATCGTAGTCGCACGAAGGGTAGTTGTTGGACGAATCACAATATCCATCGTTCATCCAGCTTTCCTCACAAGTTGTATTTTCGGGCGCGGTTTCTGTCGTATTGCCGCAGTCAGGGTCCAGACAGGCGAAGCCAATGGAGCCGCATCCGTAGTCTGGGCCGTCGATACAGGAACACTCGCAGCACTAAGATTGCACGAAAAGGGGCAGGTTGCAGGAGGAGGCGAGGGCAGGAGAGTATGACGCGGGGGGGTTATCGGTCAACAGCGACACCTATTACCCCTGGGAGAGAAGAAGTGCATCGTGATTCGTCGACGCTGTGTCAGCTCTTCAAAGACTCCCAACGGTCTACAAAGACCTACATCGGTAGTGTTTTCATACTCCCGTGTTTCTCAGCCGCCAAGGCCCCCCGCACGGCCCCAACATTCATGTTACTGAACTGTGTGTGTGTCTTTTCTCCACCCAGCTAAAGACAATCAAGAGCACTCGACACAACTCACATCTCCGCCATCGTAGTCACATGAAGGATGATTGTTGACCAAATCGCAAAACCCGTCCTTTGCCCAGTCCTCGTGGCATTCTGAGCCCCCACAGTCAGGGTACATGCAGTCGAAGTCGCTCGTGGAGCAGGAGTGCGTTGGGCCGTCAACACACGTGCACGGACAGCAATCACCCCCATCATAGCCGCATGAAGGAACATTCAGCACCGCATCGCATTGTCCGTTGCCTATGTCGGTGACCGTGCCGTTGCAGTTTGCGTACTGAGCAGTACCGCCATAAAAGCAGCTTCCCAAGGCAGCCACGAAGCTGACGACAATGCTGTATCGATCCATCATGGTCGGTCTCTCCTGCAGCGATGTCCCACAGTAGTAACGCGACAACCTTGCCCGCGAGTCCTGCGACCATTTTAGCGGGGATGATTTGATCGGATGTAGACAGACGGGGCCACGTAAGAACTGCGTCCTTTAGAGCAAGGACCGACGCATGGGATACTCGGATCAGGATTAACGCTAAGATTTTACAGGAGGCGCCACGAGCGTGCCTGGTGCGCGCCTCGGTGCCTGATGCAGCAACTACAGACGTATGGCAGGTTTGAAGCTTGATATGCATACCAAAGTGGTTGTATGCAATCCGTTGGGGGAGTGAGCCAGGCGTGCGTGTGAGGCAGGCACGTGGCAGTGAAAGGTCCAATAACGGAGTTCCCTGGCGGAGGGCTAGAGGCTCTCCGAAGGGTGACCATCAAATGTTTTAGAGCAATGATTATTTTTGTTTGCCCTCCGACAATTGCAGATAGATTCAGACATACACAAAACATCAATCGCAGCATGCATGAAGAACCTCCAAAAGCTGAGATGATTTCGATGGTCCATCACGAACAAGGGCTTGCTTGTTAAAATTATGCATCCTGTATTCGAAACACGGCATCCTGAAGCTCGCCCCCAATCTAGGTAGACTTTGTACCACATCCCCCGTCGACACTCCCGATGCGTATCGAACAGAATAAACTCGCTTTCCACCGGTAGTTAGGGTAAAGCTGTCGAGAGCGCATACATAGTTCAGCGCACAAAAGTCTGTGCGACGTTGCTGCTCTGTGTTTTGTGCGGCCATACCAAGAGGACACCCGCCCGAGATTTTTTGCTCATTCTAAGGCATTCCCCCATCCGAATCCTCCCTCGACAACTGCCGTTACTTGTGTAGCAAGTTGTAGAGGCCGCCTACGGCTGGATTTTGGAAAAAGATGCGGCCAAGAGCATGGTGGTAGTCGTCCAAATACTTCCCGATTTAGTGCTCCGGTAGACCACCAAGAGGAAGCCCATCTTCACTTGTTCTTGGTTATTTTGTCTTGCTCGTTGTTGATATGCATGTTTCTTTTGGTGTTGGGGTACGCTTGAAGTATTTCATTGGTCTATCATCACATCTTACACACCGCGCGAGTGTTCGGCTACAGTAGTTTATCTCTACATCTGTCCGGTTGATGCTTTGTTAGGGATGAGGGTATCTGGAGGTGCTCTCTCTTCCGGAGTAGAGTCAGTCGGACTTTTAGGTTGCTGGTCGTCTTCTTGGTAAGTAAATTATCGGTTTGAGTACCGTCAGGACACCTGTCGACCATTGGCATACCTGGAACTTCATGCGGCTTAAGCGACCGATATAGCTTGTCTTTTCTTTCGTGCATGACCACCAGAACTGCCGGCGTCGTGCACACGTGCATGACCGTGCATGACCTTTTTCTCGCGACCGTTCATGCACGGTCATGACCGTACATGGCCGTTCACGACCGTGCACGACTGTGCATGACCAGCCTTTTTCACCGAGTCATGCACGGTCATGCACGGTCGTGCACGGCCATGCACGGCCATGCGCGGTCATGACCATGCATGAACGGTCGCCCAATAGTGTGTTGCATTGGGGGGTTTCTTGCCCGGTGTGATCTTTACCTTTGTGGACGTATTTGAAGAGGTATTTGGCGGAAGAGGTGGCCGTAACGACGTCAACCAAACGTGGCAATGACATCATGAGGAGAGAGTCGGACAACAAGGCACCCCCATTTATTCCCAATACTAACGCCCTTCCACTTGCCGCCAACCCTGCGTCTGTTCGTAGGATGGTCGCCATTATCTGCCCGCTTACATTCTGCTCGGCCCGATATCTCTCGCTGATTTTCTGTCACACACCCTTCGGACATGTTGCAGTACTTATTGCAGCATTTTCTACGGTGGCCGTCTGCATTTGCATGCACGGAGCGTCAGCGTTGTGAGCACCACATGGCTTAATATGGTGTAATTACAATTTGATGTCACTCTGCGGTATAGCCTGTTTAGTTTACACACGTGTAGATTACTTTGAAGTCTATTCCGATGTTGTTTTCACTGTACGGAGACATGTTGGCCAGCAACGGCATATGCTTGCACCCAGGAGGTAGGGTGTGAGATGTTGGCTGGAAACAAAATGAGCGAAGGGGGTGGTCTGGTGTGTTAGAAATATCAGTATCAACTGATATAAGACTGCTGTTATTCGTATTCTCTTGAGTACAACACAGTATACGATGTCACATACATCATGAGCGATTTCAGTAGCACAAAACTAGTATACGTGATATGGCACACCAAACGCGGTGTAACAAGCTATTAAGGAAGTAACTTCAACTTGAAGAACGATATTTCAGGAAAGGTATCTAGAACGATCCACCGATGGATGCAATAGATTCCGCAACGGTTCGTAGAATATTTCCTAGATCGGGCGCACTTTCGTAGAACGGTTCTCAGGAACGTTCTCAGGAAAGTCCAGAGTAAGATTAGCAAGGTCCCCGGAACGTTTCCGGAAGAATGCTTTTGGTCTTATAGAACGGTATTTGGTTCCCACAACGTTCCCACAACGGTTCCGGACCGGTACTCAAGTTCTTCGTAGTTTCGTCGGTAGTAGACAAAAACGCTGACCAGGCAGAGCGCACGCCCCCCACCGGAGCTCACTTTGTTTCCTGCCCAGCTCAACAATACAACAAAATTGTATGTACAACATCTGTTTCTCATTTATTTCTCTTTGAACCAAACACCATTTGGTTGTAGACTCACGTCTACAGTGCACCTCAGCACACCTGTTAACAAGGTGTGGCACACGCTTCTGTTACCTTGCTTGCTCACTGCTGCTACCGCCGTAGCACAGGTCACTTGAACAGATAGTCTAGACTTCTGACTTGCGTCACCAGCCTATTATCTTGTTTTTAGTGAGGACCTCTTTTCAGCAGGTCTGACGTTCGCTGAAAAGAACACACCAAGCAATCTAACTCCAGCAAAACCACCAGGGAACTGTTCTTGACTACACAGTCTTAGCAGACCCCAAGCCTCTGATTTACTACAGGTTATGAGCCTCGGTTTACGTGGCACACAAAGAGACTACAGCAAGCACACGCTTGAGAAAACCAGATTTTGGGAAAGGTGGTTGAAACGTAACTTTTGACCAAGACCAGCGGGATAAAAACACCTAGACACGTGAAGGAGCAATCATGGCAGAGTCCTCCAGTAACATCACGGCGCTCATCAGAGGTATCCCCAAGTTCGATGGTACTCCAGCTAAGTTTCAAGCATGGAAACGCGCAACTCGCGCACTTTTGAGACTTGCTCGTCCCAAAATGTACAGCATCATCGATGGCGAGAGGCGACCACAGGAAATTTACGAGAAAGCAGCAGAACCCATTTTGAACGTACTGCTGTAAGAGACACAGCAAGGACCCCTACCCCACAAGGCAGCAGGACAGCTGCAGGGGAGGAAGACCAAGGTCACCAAGACCAAGGTGAACGAGAGGCGAAGACGAACGAGGGCGAAGACGACCAGGACCACGACCAGGACCAGGACCAAGACCAAGACGGACTCCAACAAGAACTTCAACAGACTGCACCAAAGAGTCCAATTCTCGACCTCGCAGCAAGCATGTACCGGATCGGATCAAAAGGACTATCCAGACGACCTCACCGCGAAGACACCACGACTACTGCTGGACTTCTGCTAAACGAGGAGGAGATCACTTCATGGGACCAGAACAACGCCGCACTCTTCAGCATGTTGTTGTTAACCACGGTAGGAGCTGCTGGAAGTCTTATGTCACGGTTTGAGTCAAAAACAGGTGAGGTTGCAGACGGTCAAACTGCCTGGAATCTATTATGTGCCAAGTATGAGAACAACTCAAGTCAACGTTGCCGTACTCTCATGCGACAGTTAGACAACTCTCGTATGGAGCAAGGAGAAGACCCTGATTGTTTTTTCGTCAGAATTGACCAGCTCATAGACGATCTTGCACTATTGGATGAACCAATCACAGAGCACAGAAAGATGGATATCATTCTATCTGGACTGACCAGCCACTACAACCTTGTAAAATTCCAAGCAATGAAAGACTCCGAACTATCTCTGGAGGATCTCATTATCATGATGAGAAACATGCACGTAAATGGTCCAGCACGACCAGGATTTATCAGACACAGAGGATCGGCTATGTATACTGAAACCTCTACACAAATGGACAAATCACGAGTAAAATGCCACGCATGCGGAAGACTCGGCCATTTTAAATCTGAATGTCGCGTAACGAACACGGACAGGAATAAATCCAAGTTCAGGAAGAGTATTACACCTTCAAAGAACAGTGCAACTGCTCGTAATACATGGTGCTCGCTTCATAATACGACTACGCATAACGATTCAACCTGTTGGGCGCGAAATGCCAGCCACGCACAGAAATCAAATGCCGGAAAGTTACACGAGAACGCACATACAGTGATAGCTCATACAACTTCGCATAGCGGTTCAGATTGCAAGGCACGCACCGTCACTAACACAGCGAAATCGCATGCGAAAAAGTCACACATGAAAGCACACGCAGTATTAGCAGATAGAGCTACACGGCACACCGTTCAGCCATACACCGAACATGACATATCTTCGGTAGATTCGTGCGAAGAAACTATGGGCTTTATATTCTCAGCACAAGATACGGAACAAACAGCGTATGGAACGACTCAGGAAAACAGTCAGAACATGACTGTAGAAGTCGTCGGTGGTACAAATACCAACCACCAGGAAACCGAAACTGATGTCGAAATATCTTCGGTTGTGTATGAAGAAGAAACTATGGGTTTCGTGTTTTCAACACACATGTCTGCACCGAGCGTGCAAGCCGCACCAAGCGTGCGACGAAAAGCCGCACCAAGCGTGCGCAGTGAACCCGCACCAACCGTGCGAAGAGAAGACGCACCAACCCTGCCCAGTCAAGCCGTACCGAGCGTACGCACGAAAGCCGTACCAAGCGTACGCAAGGAAGCCACACCGAGCGTGTGCACAAAAG